AGAGAGAGAGAGAGAGAGAGAGAGAGAGAGAGAGAGAGAGAGAGAGAGAGAGAGAGAGAGAGAGAGTTGTCGTGCCCTCGTTTCTGCTGCGTGCTCGTGACGCGCGCAACGCTCCACGTCCACGACTGCGACCTCATCGGCCCGTCCCCTTGCTCTTCTACCGGTTTTCCCTTCGGCACTGCCTGTCACCGGCCCTGCCTTTTTTTCCCCTGCACCGCGCCCGTCCCGTAGTTGGCTCCACTGGTTCCCCCTTGGCCGCTGGCTGTTACCGGTCCCGCGCGGGGGCACCCGGTTTCTGCTGGGCCCCACGCGAGGACCGCGTTTTGCTTTAGTAGTATAGGGAAGAAACAGAATTTCTGAGTAAGTAATGAAAGAGTGATCTTAAAAAAAGAAGAAACAGAAAGAAAAAAGAAAGGGCGTCAGAGCAGTTTACCCATTTGGGTTTTAGAACAAGCTCAACTAATGCCTGTTAACAGAGTTTCGCACCAACGGCAAGAGAAACAAAGTGGTTGCACCCCGATCTCAGGTCGGGATTGACATCCAAGGTGGAACAACATTATTTTTGCCATTTTTTGAATTTTTTTCCCTGTTTTTTTTCTTTGTTTACAATATTGAGTTTGTACCAACCAGCTTATCAGCAGCTTGTGCAGTACTCGGTGTTGTTTCTGCAACTCCACTCTGGATAGAACAGACCGTCGTTGAGCCTTGTGCGCACAGAACGACCTCCAAGAGCGGAAGGCTCTGCCCATCTGGAAGAGTAAAGCGACAAAACATTCACAACTTTAGAATCATGTTTGTTATTGAAGAAAAGATCCACGCTTCTCCCTATCTTCACAAGCGGTTAACGGGGACCCCCACTTTTCAGCCCTGGTTGCCCCCCCCCAGCACTGAAAAGTGCATTTGGGGATAATTTTTGGTCAGCCCTGAAAACCCTGAAAAGACTCAAAAGACTCAAAAGAGCGAATTTTGCATCAAAACGCACTTTTGCCTTGGGGTTGAAGGCCCTTTTGATCCATTTTTTTTTCCTTTTTTTTTTTTTTTTGCTGTTGGTTTGTTTGGAGTCCACTCTATGGACTGGTGACAAGCCTGGTAGGCTTAAGAGGTGTGGGACCACTGGGACGTTTGTTATAATGATCCTGAAAAAAACCTCCTGAAAATTTAGGGCTCTGTTAACCGCTTCTCCCTTTCTTATACTTCTCGTGAACTTCAGGATAGAAACACCATAAGAGCTTGGTAGGGGTAACACACAGAAAAGGCTCTAGTCATCGTTCTACCTTTCTTGTATATCTCACACTGGAACTGAGGAGGGTCAGGAGGGTTGGCATGCAAGAGGACAGGAAATCAGGAGCAAAATGCAAAATGACAGTGACACAGGCTAGCAGCGTGTTTTCATAATTTGTCATTATTTTCTCCTCCCGCGACCCACCTCCCACCTCTCCCCAAACCATCACCATCACCCCACAAATGCTTTGAGGCACTCTCTGATCCAACGGCTTGCATCTGAGCGCTTTTACCGCAGGACTTGTATTGGTGAGGACTCTTGGGAGATGCCCCTGCATCCTCGTATTAAGGAACAGCTAGAACCAATGAACCTTGGGTTATGGGCCGACGAATCCCTTGGTGTACCTGTTGCATTTTGATACTGCCCCTTGGGTTAAGACTTGCGGCAATACAACCCTGGTACTTTGATTTTCTCCTACCGTTCACCGACACCTGGCCTCCAGATTACCGACAGGGCTGTTCTTCTGATAAGGTCGCCCAATTGCCAATTCTTCTGATAAGGTCGACCAATACTTCACTCGACCTATCTAAAAAGATAGGATCTTTGGGAAATGGCCTTCGTTGGTCTTCATAATCTGCAGTCTAGAAAAGTTCTAATAACCTGTGTAGGTAGGGAGGGGAGGCTGTGTAGGTGGGACCTCTCCCAATGGAAACTACGCACTTCTGTTCTTCTCGCCATCAAACATATTCCATTATGCCTGTTCTGTGCTCTCTCTCTCTCTCTCTCTCTCTCTCTCTCTCTCTCTCTCTCTCTCTCTCTC